TGCGACCCCGTTGGGATGCCGGCGCTAATGACACCGCCGATGACACTGCCGTCATCTGCCCGACCCCAGGGGGTGAGGGTGAAGATCAGCACGAGGGTAGACACAAAAAGTACCTGCAACAATCAGAATATTAAACATAGCTACAATAATCGTTATACGAACTGCAATTGTTTGATGATATGAGTTGGAGATGATGTATGTATATGAAAGCTGGAGATGATGTATGTATATGAAAGGTTTGCTGATAAATTTCTGTTGACCATTACTAGATGATTTCATTTTGGTGACGCTTTTTTTGCAGTAGGATTGTGTTGTTTTTGTGTGTTGTTTATTCTGTTTTATCTCACATTCAGCAATATTTCAGCCGCATGAGGGCACTTTCACATTGAATGGACTGCGTTCAGAAAACGCCCTATATTCCCATAACTATTCACCCACACGAAATACAAATCTGTCTGAATGACATTTTTAAATTATCTTATAATAAAGAGATTTGAATTTCCTCCTCTAAATACTGTTTTACAATACAGCGTAAGATGGTGATCGTTTCCATGTAGTTTGATTTATCGCAATACACGTTAAAAAGTGAATACAATGCACATCCTGTGTCACTCGTTTAGTCGATGTTTGTTAGGTTATTTTGTCAAGTTCATGTGAACAAATCACATCTCAACATTCTTTTATGGAAGTTTGATAAAAGAATCTATTTTATCTAACATCATGCATTTATAACCATAAGTCATCAACAATATGAGCGTCATATATTTAACGCTGTACTCAATGGATCAGTTTGCACTCGAATTTTAGTCTCTAGCATACAGCCTTCCGCTAAAGGGTTAAACAGTAACATGCCCATCCCGTCAATCCAGCCGCCCATTTACGGCATTAGGGACATATTATGAACAAAAGTCACTTGGGTAAGAAGACATATCATGTCACATGAGTTCAATATGGGGCATACCAAAGTCTTAGAAACTTTTAGGGGCCATGTTACAGAAAAGGATCAACCTTATGTTTTATTCTCTGTATTTTGAATTAAGCATGATGGAATATTGCGACGAGTTTACATCTTAAAGAACACAATAGTACATGCCGAGAAAGTGAATGAGTACTTGTAATGAGCTACAAAGGTGTACTTGTTGTTGTCGTTGTAATGGTAGTGGTGGCGGTGTGCTTATGTCATACCATGAATGAATAATGCACAAATATACTTAATTCTCTCCCTCACACTGTACTTAGCATTTATTATCACAACATATTTAAACGCACATGTCTATACCTGTGTAACTATATTCGGTATAAATGAGTTTTTGACCTGACTGAATTTCAACTGATCGAGTAAATAGTAGCTTCAAAATAGCTATGAATATTAATGGAGGCATTTAAAAATATTTTTTAATGTATATCATCATCAGTTTCACACAGCGAAAATCTGTTAGCATAGAGGAAATTAATACAATATCAACTGTATGGCCACTGATTCTAAATACGAAAGACAAAATAATCATGTTTATTCGAAATATGTGAAATATTATTTTGTCTTAACAGTAAAGATACAACATAAGTTTCAACATATGAAAAAGAAAGCTACTTACCATCTTTCTGTCCCGATTCGGAAGGAGGATTCTGGATGTCTGACTTCGACTTCATTTCTCCTGTATTTATACAGCCGCGCGTTGGGAATGAATTTCTATAATTGTAGTTAATCCATCAATTTCCGATGTTTACAGCACATTGTTATCAATTAACAGAACTATCTATCAACTTCTGACGAAACAAGACTGTCAGACCTACTCATTTAAGAACAGTTATTTCGACATATCAGGAGTCCAGTTACAAACACGATGGAAGAACTCAATGCGTCTTAAAAGTCACCTCCGTAAAGATAACCGAAGTCATTGGTTTAATAGGTACGGAATGTTCCACCGTCCTCTGCAATTAAGCCCATTAGGTTACAAGGAGACCAGTCCAACGGCAATTAGGTGTACGAGAGGTGTAGTTCGGTGTCCCATTTCCCTTTAAATCCCTCAATATCCCGGACGTTTATTGTTGTATTGTAGGGGTGTTGCAAGGCGGTGTTCTGGCTCCGATTGTATTTAGAGTCAATGGGCATGTTTACACAATGCTCGGTTAATTATACAGTCACTCCGAAACAAGATCGTATGAACTGATATCAAGCTAGTAATTGTGACACATGAGAACCGTAGAACAAGATGGGGTTCAAGATGTGCAACATTTTCGGCTGGGAACAGAAAACGATTGAAGACAAATAATTTTATCAACTACAAGAAACGAATATGTTGGTCTCAAATATACATTTCATTATACTTTCGTATTTTTACCCGGACACAAGAAACTCCAAATTGCCCAAACACAGAATAATAATACTTGTGAAAAGTTTGAAATATGTCCTTCGTGTATGGATTGGTCGGTTTACATTTATCAAGATTAAATAGAATTAAAATGTGGAGTGTAGTATTTTCTTTCTGAAATTGAAACAAACTCTAAATTTGGAGCATAAGAACACAGTAAGAACATTTCAACCCGTCACTCAAGTCACGCCTGTTACTGGTTTTTCGTTGTTATTTCATTAAACCGAAATTTTGAAATGATAATTCATTATTTAAGAGTTTTTGTACCTTCACTTTCGTAAAAAATTTTATTACTTCAACTGATTCTTATGTTCAGAAAGACGAGAAACTATGTTATTAAAAAGGGCTAAACAAGAAAGAATTACCCTAATTTCAAATATTCCTGTGCGTGCTGCGAAATCTCCGTTCAGGTGTATGTTTATTCAAATGTTTCCAAATTGAGGAAACATATCAGTATAAAAAAGCGTTACGTTTCATTCTATAATTATTACCGGTTGGTAGAGGTAATAATTGGTGATTGGTCATCGCAATAATTGATCATGAGTGGTGAATAAACCGTTATCTTTCCTGAAATCCGTGGATTATTGACAAGGTTCCATCACCATCATGGCAGTCTAATGTGTTTATCCTTGGGGCACCAAAAATACCCTTTATTAAATAATTTAACAGTACTGGGTATTGTACGGAATGAGTTCTTACAATATTGAACAAACTTTATGGATAACAACTTCTTTTATTTCGTGAGTGCCACGTTTTGATACAGATTCTTGTACCGTTGTCAAGCAGGAATGATACATGAATAGGAAGAGATGTATATATACTGAATGTAACAAAGAGAACAACATAATTAACATAATTAACTAGGCAGTCAGCTGATGAAGCCAGTGAGTAGACAAAGGGAAGGGAGTTGAAGCCAGAGATGTACAAATGAAGGAGCAGTTACCCCTGTAACAGCATCAACCCTACAATTTGTATCTTATCCCAGCTTTTTGTATCTTATCCCAGCTTTTTGTATATCATTAGATTATCAGCCACCCTTTTGTACACCAATTAGACTCATTGACCTCGATCACTTACCAACTTAATCCACTGTAACAACACCATGTCTGCTTTTGTATATTTTTATTATCATATTCTCATCTTATTATCTGCTATTTATTGTATATACATGCTAAAATCATTCTGGCTTTTTGTAAATTGCTAGTATATATATCCTGTATACCTGTTAGTTAGTATTCACCTGACGAAGGGGTAGGGAATAGTCCAGAAACGTTGTGTGTACAATAAAGAAGAAGTTGACATCCATAATATTTTGTCTTATACTTGAATACCAACTTCTATATGCCTCTCAAGAACCGCAGTTACAATAAAGACGAGGATGTTATGCAATAGAGTGGGCTTATACAGTAGAGTGGGCTTATACAGTAGATTGGGCTTATACAGTAGATTGGGCTTATACAGTAGAGTGGGCTTATACAGTAGATTGGGCTTATACAGTAGAGTGGGCTTATACAGTAGATTGGGCTTATACAGTAGAGTGGGCTTATACAGTAGAGTGGGCTTATACAGTAGATTGGGCTTATACAGTAGAGTGGGCTTATACAGTAGAGTGGGCTTATACAGTAGAGTGGGCTTATACAGTAGATTGGGCTTATACAGTAGAGTGGGCTTATACAGTAGAGTGTGGGTGGGCTTATACAGTAGAGTGGGCTTATACAGCTTATACAGTAGATTGGGCTTATACAGTAGAGTGGGCTTATACAGTAGAGTGGGCTTATACAGTAGATTGGGCTTATACAGTAGAGTGGGCTTATACAGTAGATTGGGCTTATACAGTAGAGTGGGCTTATACAGTAGAGTGGGCTTATACAGTAGAGTGGGCTTATACAGTAGAGTGGGCTTGGTGGAGGAGTGCATCAAAAGCGGATGGTGTGAAGTATCCTTGGACACGGTTGATGGTGGGCTTATGTCGTTTGATGTGAATGGCTTCGGTGAGCTTGCGTTTAGTGAAGTCCGTTTGCTTGTTGGCAAGAATGGTGATGTCAAGAATGGTGAATAAGGTCTTGTTTGTAAGAATGGAATATTGCAGTGGGGGAAATGAATAGAATAGCATGCACATATGATATCAATGACAAATATGGCGTGTGTGCAATAAGCGCGTGGCCCGATGACGTGTATTCTAAACTTGGAAACAAAATAAAGAAAACGAAACTGAAACGAAAAGAGCTAATGTCCAATGTGTGGCATAACCATCCATTCTCTCCTGTGTCACTTTCTTTTATAGTAATATGTGGCTGGGTAATTTTGTGTAAAGATAATCACTGGACCCATTTAGTAAAAGGTAATCTGTGTTTGGGTAAAAATAATTTGGTTTACAGGCATAGCACACCAGCCAGCAGTCTACCCCAACACAACACCCGACCCCAACCCGTCCACATCCATCACACCAGCCAGCAGTCTACCCCCAACACAACACCACGACCCCATACCCGTCCTACGTCCATCACACCAGCCAGCAGTCTACCCCCAATACCACACCACGACCCCATACACGTCCTACGTCCATCACACCGTCCTACCCCCACACCAGCCAGCAGTCCTACCCCAGCAGTCTACCCACACACCACGATGACCCCATACACGTCCTACGTCCATCACACCAGCCAGCAGTCTACCCCCAACACCACACCACGACCCCCATACCCGTCCTACGTCCATCACACCAGCCAGCAGTCTATCCCCAACACCACACCACGACCCCCATACCCGTCCTACGTCCATCACACCAGCCAGCAGTCTACCCCCAATGCCACACCACGACCCCATACACGTCCTACGTCCATCACACCAGCCAGCAGTCTACCCCCAACACCACACCACGACCCCATACCCGTCCTACGTCCATCACACCAGCCAGCAGTCTACCCCCAACACCACACCACGACCCCCATACCCGTCCTACGTCCATCACACCAGCCAGCAGTCTACCCCCAACACCACACCACGACCCCATACCCGTCCTACGTCCATCACACCAGCCAGCAGTCTACCCCCAACACCACACCATGACCCCATACACGTCCTACGTCCATCACACCAGCCAGCAGTCTACCCCCAACACAACACCACGACCCCAACACGTCCATCACACCAGCCAGCGTCTATCCCCAACACCACCCATGACCCCATACACGTCCTACGTCCATCACACCAGCCAGCAGTCTACCCCCAACACCACACCATGACCCCATACACGTCCTACGTCCATCACACCAGCCAGCAGTCTACCCCCAACACCACACCACGACCCCCATACCCGTCCTACGTCCATCACACCAGCCAGCAGTCTACCCCCAACGCCACACCACGACCCCCATACCCGTCACCACTTAGAACTCACCCCAACCATCAACCCTTTCTAAAACTTCATCTTTCTACTATGTCGTTTTACTTGACATAGTGATACTGCTCACGTAATGACATCAGGAAAGATTATTTTTTCTGTTTGTTGACTAGAACTGTACAGCACCCTAATACGCTGATGAAGGAAGCTTTGATGTAAGAGACAATACCGTCATTCACCGTCAACATCGGCTTGGTCTGGTTAATTGATATGCCAGTAGAATTTTAACCTTGCCACAATATTGCAATGATATGTATCATCAGTTTATCAATGAACAAGATAAAACACCTCTTGCGTGTCATATACAAATGCCCAAAATGCCCATCATTGTCCCGTGAAAGTGCAACGGTAGAAATCTGTTATGACACTTGAACGGTGCAATGCCGTTACTGTCGATATTTCACAGTGTTTAATGAATTAACGGCATTTACGAGACGCTATTGTTTAATCCCACAGCATTGCTCGATACTATCACTCATTTTACGATGAGCTTGATTAAACGGAGCTGCCACAAGACTCATCCATTGGTAATGTGTACACACATTATGTCAAGAGTATGTAGATATAGCGGTCACGTGTTTCCTGTTTAGGTTCCTGTTGTTTGCTTCTGTGTTTCTGTTCTTGACAAAAGGTGGGGTAGCCTAGTGGTTAAAGCATTTGCTCGTCATACCGAAGACCCTTGTTCCATTCCCCAAATGGGTGCAATGTGTGAAGCCCATTTCTGGTGTCCCCACCGTGATATTGCTGAAATATTGATAAAAGCGGCGTAAAATCATACTCACACACTCTTGACAAATGGAATGACATATCTTTGCAAATTCTGTGCAAATTCTGTAATTTCAAGATCTGAGTTTTACGGCAATATATTAAACGACATTATTGTTTAAAGTGCCGAAACATGCCAAATTCTTTATTCCCGTATATTACGTGATCCTAGAATAAACACGAACAAAAGTCAGTCTGGATCAATAAGTGGTCAGTCGAATGTGAATGTACATCTAGTGCGTAGGAAAATCTGTGAAATTAAATTATTATTTGCATAGCGACAATATTCAGCTCAGCTTCTACAAAGGCGCTTTGTTTTTCCCTCGGTCATTGGATGTCAATCCCTTCTGTTGAAATAGCTCTTGAAATATTCGCTACAGCATTTAGACAGAAGGGATCACATTGTTGTTGTTTTTTCCATTTACATCATTCAATACCTAAAATTCGAAATGAACCAACACTCTCACTTCACAGAATTAGAAAACACAAACATTACAAGTATCAGTGATCAGATCCAGTTCTTGAAGCAAATAACACACATAGAAATCAAGATGAAGGGCAGATGTTGTCACAGACTACATCCCACTGTTATACTTGAACACTGGCTAAAGCGCCAGGCTAGTGATCCAGCGAGCTTGAGGTGACGGGATCGAGCCCACCTGTGACTGGGTGTAAACTTTGTGGAGTCAACTTTGTGTGCAGACTCTTTCAGTGCACAGACTCAACCCTGTGCACTTAAAAGAACTCACGAATCCGTTGGTAAATGACCAGATGGTGGCCACGTGAATACGTACAAACACCTAGTTGCGGGTACAGCAACGTGCAGTAAAACTTGGACAAAGTACTGTGACTATGTGTCCCAGTCCACCCTGCTGTTAATGGGTACCTCGTAAGGATGGGAATGCCACAATAACTAGTGGTTGCAAGAGTTGTATGATCCCCAGGGAGTTGAGATTGACAATACGATGTGCCGTTGAGATTGACATCCAGTGAACGAGGGAAAAACAAAGTACCTTTGAGCAGCTGAGCTGAGCTGGATATCGGCGCTATACAAATGTTAGTATGTAATGTAATGTAATGTAATGTAATGTAATGTAATGTAATGTAATGTAATGTAATGTAACAAAGTGAGTGTATGACGTCAGTGGTTATAGGTACCATGTCATAGCTAAACTTTAAAATGTTGCAGCACAATTATTTCGTGCAAGTAGACCAAGGCAACTTGTGAATGAGGTGCTTCCTTCTGCAGCACATGTAATTCTAGCGGCTACCAGAATTCACCGTATTTGTTACGGTATGAAATTACGGTCTACCGTAACTTTATTGGTTTTGTACTGGCTGCCAAACTTTTAGAGCAACAATTCACGGTAAAGTTTTACAGTGTAGATATCCCCATCCAAATGATGGAGACAGGGGAATACCGGAGTACTGACAACATAGCGCATTGAGCAATAGAAAACACATCCCCAGGCTAATAAACAACTTGTCCCTTCGATCGATTTTCAAAATCAGACTTATCCACTGCAAATGGCAAATGAAGGTTCTGTTTCAATCGAACGACAATCACACTGGAATATATATTTCTTTTTCAACTACCACTCGCCTTTTCGGGGATTCATGGGGAGAAGTGGCCTCCCTTTAAATGATGGTTGTCATTGACGCTAACCATACTGTGGATCGGGTGTGTATATAGTGCGTGTTCTGGCTGATTGTCATATCTTTTCTTCTTTTATTTTTTTGTATTGGCATATCTTTACTGCATGGCTTGTCGCCAGTGCTATCAACCAGTGGTATGTGGGACCACAGGGGTTCGAAACACTGTTTGGACAATAATTCTGAAAATAAAAATCATATATTGCAATCATATATCGTTTTTATATGTTATGATTAACATATATTATATATGATTGCAAAAGTCTAGAAATTTAATTTTAAAAATTATTGTCCAAACAGTGATTCGAAACCCTGTATGTCGGACCCTGGAAAGATCTACCTGTAGGGTATGAGAATGTTTACGAAATAAAAACACTTATCCTGATGTTTCAAATATATATTTCAACAAAACGGCGAAGTGCTTCATCTCGCATATAGACAGATAGAAAAAACTGAAGCTTCATTGATCAAAAACATTATGCGCGTATGGACCTTAGGAAACAGACATAAAATATCTCTTGCTTGCGTACATATACATTGTACCTGAAAACGATATTCTCAAAATTCTTGTGAATTTTCCAACGCGTTTGTAGCCCAGGGCGCCGTTGTACAAAGCAACCTTATGGCTACGACAGTCGTAGGCCTATGTTAAAAGGTATTGGTCTAACAATCACCTTAGTCGTTAGATGGCGTTGTACAACGGCACACAATCAGTCACTAAGCTACAGATGAGAAGGTTGTAAGTTCGGTCAGCTATAAATTGAATATAAACAGTAGATATTTTAATTATATCAAAAGAGCCGTTCAAAGGGCAATAGGGAGCAATATGTTTTATAAATATAGTACAAAAATCGTTTTTTGTTTAACACACATAAAAATACAGGGAAAGCTTATGAATGAAAAGATTAAATCTGGGCACTTTTATTCAATGATTGTGATAACAAAGTCCCCTTACCATATACATTTAATGATTCATCACATTCCAGTAAAATGTCTTTTTACGACCCTCTCTTTATTTACAAAGCTAAAAGAATTACAATTCAAAAATCATACACAACGCTGTGCCATGTAAGAAATGGTTGTTTAAACTTTACTTAAGTAAATCACCAGATTGTGATGCCTGAAAAACTTTGGAGGATGTTTCCATTATTTTTATAATTGTAATAATCGTACTTTAATGATGAATGATTATGTAAAGCTTCTTTCTAAGTATTCACAGCAACTACACGTTTGTCCGGTTCAACAGATCACTTTGATCCAATATTTGAGTTTTTAAATATGCATTTAAAATACTTCATATATAAGTCTAACTATACCTATATCAAAGTTTTTATGAAGCATTTACTGATAGAATTGAAATATGCTTTGGAAATATATAAGTATTCAAAGGAAAAGTTTAAGTATCTAGAAATACCAATGTTAGATTTACAATTGAAAAAATATATATTTCACACTGAAGCCAGTAAACCAGTTGTCCCCGAGGGGCGGTGGGGTAGCCTAGTGGTTAAAGCGTTGGCTCGTCACGCCGAAGACCCGGGTTCGAATCCCACATGGGTACAATGTGTGAAGCCCATTTCTGGTGTCCCCCGACGTGATGTTGCTGGAATATTGCTAAAAGCGGCGTAAAACCAAACTCAGTCAGTCAGTTGTCCCCGACCACGTGGACCTGTAAATTGTGTATTTGTAAAACCGTGCTTACCAATGAGTTCGATCAGCTGATAATTAAGCAACATTTGCCTGTTGATTTATATCATTCAGTATGTTTCTTTATGTTTATGGACGAAACTTGGGATTTCGTAACACCCTCGTTATAAGATTTACCCCCTATTGGAGTGAGTGAGTGAGTTTAGTTTTACACCGCTTTTAGCAATATTCCAGCAATATCACGGCGGGGGACACCAGAAATGGGCTTCACACATTGTACGCATGTGGGGAATCGAACCCGGGTCTTCGGCGTGACGAGCGAACGCTTTAACCACTAGGCTACCTGGGACGCCACCGTCCCCCTATTGGAGAACAATACAATGAGGTAACTGGAGGTGCCACTCCATAATAACATGCTCAGCCCCCCTAGCCATAAATTATGAACGGTCCCTAAGTTAGTATTCTGGGTGTATATACTAAATTCATAAAGTTGCTTCTCGTACGACAATCGCAACCATGTCAGGCTGCTCTAGATGTAATATAACCAGAAACCGGAATTAATTTGACGATGTCACTAATGTGATACTTTTTATATGTTTTCAAGAATGCATTGCACTGCGGGAGACTTGAGTTCATACGTTGCTCAACCGTGAAAGAGACCTTCCATTCATTAGACAAAAACACTGACAACGACATCGTGTATTTTAACAGAACCATCAAAGCATTGTGGCGTTTCAGAACATGAAACGGCTTTAGCAAGTGTCCGCCTTCGAGGTTTGCTGTAAACTGGGGCTTTGACAACCTGGCGAGTGCGCCTGCCACGCCGTTCATGTAAATCTCGTGCAGCACGGTGGGTAGTCAGGTGTTGAGTTGTGTCGTGCGAACTTGTACAGAAACAAGTACAATGTTGAGTTGTCGAGATCTTTTCGAGTGAACTTCAGTACGTCTGGTGACGCCACAAATGTGAGTTGCGTTTTCACTCGTCATTTTTAAAATTAGCGGAACGTTTTAGACGTTCAGCAAAAGGAAACGCACAATGAGTTACACTGGATCAATTTATGATTTTATACCGACAGAAAAATGCAACATTTTAGTTTCAGTGACCTTTCGAAACTGTTATTTTTCCTGGTACTGTTGTAACATGTTATGAGGTGCACGTTTAAAACTTCATGGTTTCTTTATAGCATTAAACAGCACTGTCTATAGTGTAGTTGACAGCAACAAGAAGTATATTTATAATTTTAGTTTAAATATATCTCATAACTTTCTTGTCAGTAATATTGATGTTTTTCTTTGGTTGGTTTGCTTCCACTCTTGTACAAAGTGTTATCACAAATAGTGAAGAGTTTCTGGGTGGAGGTAGCCCAGTGGTCAAGGTGTCAGCTGTCAGGCAGAAGACCAGGGTTCCATTCCAAACATGGCCACAATGAGTGAATCACATATCTGGTATGCCCAGCTGTGGTATAGCAGGAATATTGCTTACCCTATTGGAGAACAATACAATGAGGTAACTGGAGGTGCCACTCCATAATAACATGCTCAGCCCCTAGCCATAAATTATGAACGGTCCTAAGTTAGTATTCTGGGTGTATATACTAAATTCATAAAGTTGCTTCTCGTACGACAATCGCAACCATGTCAGGCTGCTCTAGATGTAATATAACCAGAAACCGGAATTAATTTGACGATGTCACTAATGTGATACTTTTTATATGTTTTCAAGAATGCATTGCACTGCGGGAGACTTGAGTTCATACGTTGCTCAACCGTGAAAGAGACCTTCCATTCATTAGACAAAAACACTGACAACGACATCGTGTATTTTAACAGAACCATCAAAGCATTGTGGCGTTTCAGAACATGAAACGGCTTTAGCAAGTGTCCGCCTTCGAGGTTTGCTGTAAACTGGGGCTTTGACAACCTGGCGAGTGCGCCTGCCACGCCGTTCATGTAAATCTCGTGCAGCACGGTGGGTAGTCAGGTGTTGAGTTGTGTCGTGCGAACTTGTACAGAAACAAGTACAATGTTGAGTTGTCGAGATCTTTCGAGTGAACTTCAGTACGTCTGGTGACGCCACAAATGTGAGTTGCGTTTTCACTCGTCATTTTTAAAATTAGCGGAACGTTTTAGACGTTCAGCAAAAAGGAAACGCACAATGAGTTACACTGGATCAATTTATGATTTTTTTATACCGACAGAAAAATGCAACATTTTAGTTTCAGTGACCTTTCGAAACTGTTATTTTTCCTGGTACTGTTGTAACATGTTATGAGGTGCACGTTTAAAACTTCATGGTTTCTTTATAGCATTAAACAGCACTGTCTATAGTGTAGTTGACAGCAACAAGAAGTATATTTATAATTTTAGTTTAAATATATCTCATAACTTTCTTGTCAGTAATATTGATGTTTTTCTTTGGTTGGTTTGCTTCCACTCTTGTACAAAGTGTTATCACAAATAGTGAAGAGTTTCTGGGTGGAGGTAGCCCAGTGGTCAAGGTGTCAGCTGTCAGGCAGAAGACCAGGGTTCCATTCCAAACATGGCCACAATGAGTGAATCACATATCTGGTATGCCCTGCTGTGGTATAGCAGGAATATTGCTTAAAACCATATTGCGTGAAAGCATACTCACTCCAACAGTTTCTATCATATCAGGGTCAGGGTCAGATCTGTGATTGTCAACCTTGATCAGTGGATCCTGGCAATACTAAGGGATGCAACTCTGCACACCCATTTTCTCTGCCTTTAGAATCCTTTTTAACCTATCGTAGGCCTATCACACCCAGTTCCATTCAGCACCCCAAATGGGCTTCTTTAAGCAAATTATATCCACACTCACTCACTCACTCACTCATCAGTGCAGAATATCCATACAGCTTCCTGGTACAATGTACAAAATGTTCAGTTTCATCGACATTTGTACAAAGCTCACAACCCCTTTATCATTATATGGGGCTGTGGGGTAGCCTAATGGTTAAAGCATTCGCTCGTCACTCTGAAGACCCGGGTTCGATTCCCACATGGGTACAATGTGTGAAGCCCATTTCTGGTGTCCCCTGCCGTGATATTGTTGGAATATTGCTAAAAGCGGTGTAAAACCCAACTCACTCACTCACTTTGTCATTATGTGTTTATGGTTCAGTCTACAAGTTGCTACATTAATCTATTGTGGCATAATACTTCTCCAGTTTATTCATTTTACTGTTCTTTTTTAGAATTTTATTAACAATCATATTTTCATTGCTTGTAACTGATTGGGTTTTTTGTTCATATTTTCAGAAACAGCCCTGAAAGGTTATCATAATCACATTTCCCAAGAGCTTAAGGATGGCCAGTCACACAGCTAAGCATTCTTCAGCCAGTTTAAAAAAAGTTCTCGAAAGAACAATAGAAAGCAAATCACACTGAAGAAACGAACCGTTACATGTTATAAATGCAAGGCTCATTTCAGAACAGAGAAGTCCCTCATTAAACATACGAAGGAATGTCCAGGGTCACAAAAACAGGAGTCAGTCATTTGCCACCTTTGTGGAAAGGGTTTCCCAGACCGAGCCGGCATTGAGAAGCACCTGCAAGACCACACTAAGACCCCTTGCTGCTTTTGCACTATGTGCAAAAAAACATTTGCTGAGTTTGAAGACCTTGAATCTCATATCAGTGTCTGCCAAGTTCTCAGGTTAAGAAGAAAGGAAGTGAGGAAAGCATTCATCAGAAAGCATCAAATTTTTAAAAGGTTAGAACAGATAGAGGTTCTGTCAGAAAATGAGACATCAAGTGAAATCATTGTTTCACCTGGTAAAACTGAGGACATTGTTGATGGGCATGTACAAAATGTGACCAAGGACAATCAGAATGCGCATGGGAACAACACAATCAACTTGAATCAGTTGGACAAGAATAACACCATCGACAGGAACAACACCATCCACATGAACAGCCATCAGTTGGACAGGAACAACACCATCGACAGGAACAACACCATCAACTTGAACAACCATCAGTTGGAAAGGAACAACACCATCGACAGGAACAACACCATCCACATGAACAGCCATCAGTTGGACAAGAACAACACCATCCACATGAACAGCCATCAGTTGGACAAGAACAACACCATCGAAATGAACAACCGTCAGTTGGAAGGAAACCGCACCAATGGCATGGACAAGACCAACACTGTCAGCATCAACGGCCATCATTTATATGAGAACATTGACACAAATGGCCATCAGCTGGATGAGATGGACCAGAAATCACATGACATCGTGGGTGCTGATCTAGATTTTCTGTGTGAGAATTGCGGACTTCTGTTTGAAGGATGTCTAAATTTGACAGAGCACTACCAGGTTCACAGCAACCAAAAATTGGAAAATCAGTATGACCACAGAAATGTGGTAGAATTTGATGACAGTCTGTTCCTAGGCGACGAAGAACTACACAAAGTTTCTACAATGAAATCAGGGCCAGGGTGTTATGTTAATGACATAATGTATTTTTTGAATGAAGGATATGATATACCTACTGTGGTAAGGAACACAACGTCATCAGGAATTGGATTGTCTCAAGGACACAGTGGCCAAGGTCACATGGAGATGAGTGGACATCAGCTGGTTACAGAGAATCTATGGGCAAAGGATGGAACCGAGTGTTTCAGGTCTGCTCAAGGTAAACAGCAGAAAGCATTTGAGGTGTCCGAAGTTTATGCTCTGGATTGTGCATATAATGAGTATGGAGGATGGAAGTTCACAAAGATAAAGACTGATGGGAAGCCAAAGACCAAAACCTCTGACATGGCTGTAACTTGGAATAGTGACAATGGTTTGACATCCATCTGTGACCCCAAAGCACAAGATACAATCATCTCTGACCTAAATGCATTTCATCAAGTAATCCCCAGTTCCACTGTGTCTTGCCAAGCTATAACCTATCCCGATACATATTGTCAAACCATTTCAGGTCCCAGTGGACATGATACAATGATACCAGATCCGAAAGGATATGATCAGACCATCCCTGATTCAACAGAATATGTTGCCAGAATCCAGCATCAAGAAGGATATGATCAAACTGTCCCAAGCTCTAGAGGATGTGTTGCTTCTATGCCAGACCCTATATGGTATGAAAGTACCTTCCATCATCCTTGCAGGATATGAAAAACAACTATCAGATACCAAAGGATATGATAGCATGTTGGATCTTACAGGATATGACAGTGTTGTCAAAGATACCAATGGAATTGCGGACACCAACCAAGCTTCTAATGGAAATGTTGCGTCTATCCCCCACAACAAAGGATATGACATGTTGGATAATACAGGATATGACAATGTTGTCAATGATACCAATGGAATTGCGGACACCAACCAAGCTTCTAATGGAAATGTTGTGTCTATCCCACACAACAAAGGATATGACATGTTGGATAATACAGGATATGACAATGTTGTCAAAGGTGCCAGTCAAACTGTTGATATAAACCAAGATTCTGGTGGATATGTTCTTAACATACCAGATAACAAAAGCTATGTTAATCACGATGCTGAACTGCTCATCACTTGGAACTCTGACCAATCAACTGGTGTCAATATGGACAGTATGAGCAGTGGAAGATTTGATTCAGATGGAATTAGGTTCTCAGATGATGCACTGTCCTTTGATGTGTGTAGTCCTGATTTTAAACCAGTTCAGGCATGCACTTTTGAGAATGTTTTTGAAAAGTTTGTTTCTGACAGAAGTTCCAATCACGGTGTTGATAGTGATGAGTGCACGGATACAATATTTGTGTGCAAGTATTGTAGAGAATGGTTTGTAACAGATCCTCACCTCAAAAACCACTTGTTGCAACACTGTGACAATTCATGCCTGAGCAGTGCTGGTAGGCTTACTGATTCTAGTTTTAACAGCACTGGTATGGAGCATTTTCATTCACACTTAAACATTATTGGTAAAAGTCATGTTGACTCAGATTTAAGCATGATCGGATCTTTAGACACAAATGTAGACCCTTTTCAATCCTCTCAGTTTGAAGAATTTTGGATTCATGATTCATCTACTCTGGATCTGACTGAGCAATCAGAACATCCTGCTCAGGAGAATCCAACAGAAACACAGCAGGTAGAACCAGTGGATTTGGATACTCACTTGAACACAGTAGAACAGAGCATTGATGGTCACAGTCAGTTGAAGAGTGATCAGATCTCTTACTTGGACTCCTTGGGCAACATAAAAATCACGTGCCATCAATGCAGCAAAGCTTTCCATGAGGATGACCTATTCTGCCATGACCCATGCTTCACCAATAAAGACAAGGACCTGGATGAGTGTGGGGTGTGTCATCGCAAGTTTTCTTCCTATAAAAGTGTCCTTACCCACATGAGAGCCCACAGTGAGCTGGCAAACCAGTGTGCCCAGTACCCAAGGACCTATCAGAGCAAGGGTGTGGTGGATGCCCACTGTGAGGTCCATACCTTGGAACACAAGGAATGTCATATCTGTGGGAAGCTTGTGAACCCTGCTCAGTTGAAATACCATGTGAAGCTTCACGACAGGGATGTAGGGCAACAGAGGTCCCTGCAGTGTGTTGTGTGTGAACAGAGCCTCCCGGACATGACCTCCCTCGCCTCTCATCAGTACTCTGAACATAGCATGCATGACGATTCCATCACCGACATCATCTCCTGCTACAAATGCCCCCATTGTAAGGAAGAGATGCAGCACAAACCGTTATTCATAGCTCATGTAGCTAGCCACACCGGTGTCTTCCCATTTGAGTGTAGCTTATGCTTGGAAGGATTCTTTTACAAGACACTGCTAAATGTGCATTCAAATAAATACCATTCTGTGCCTTGAACCATGTTTGTTGTTATTTTGAATATTTATTACTTGGAAATGGAATGGAGTAAGAATTCTGCTTTGCAGATGGGTTGGTTATAAGGACTTTACTGTTCACGTTTAGCTTTAACTAAATTGCAGAAGAACAGATTAATGCATGAATAAACCTTGGTCTCTTTTCATCCTGTTATGGATAAAACAATGCTTGTGAAGTTATAGTTGTGATGAAACACCATGAAACTGTAATCCTGAAGTGAATTGAATTAAGCTGTTATTTAAATAGAAGATTTCTGACATTTTGGGGGAAGAAATAGGTTTTCCGAGAGTTTCTTTGCCCATACATTGTATATATAGATATATCTGTATTTGATTAACGGGGCTGTGGTGTAGCCTAGTGGTTAAAGCGTTGGCTCGTCACGCTGAAGACCCGGGTTCGAATCCCACATGGGTACAATTTGTGAAGCCCATTTCTGCCGTCCCCCTGCCGTGATGTTGTTGGAATATTGCTAAAAGCGGCGTAAAACGAAATTCAGTCAGTCAGTCAGTCTTTGATTAACACAAGGTCAGGTTCACATAATTGGATAGTCTTTGTCTCCCACCTCACTACCAAAGACTCCTTCCTCACATTATTTTATTGTCCCAAGCACCTGCAGATTAAGAAAGAATGTCGTTTCATTTACTCATAAAAATATATGAGTCCGAGTCCAGTGTTTTTTTCTGTTGGGCAAGCAAATTTGTATATCACGCTGTACTGATGTCCAGTTGACTTCCCAATGTTAATTATGTTGCTTTTTAAAAAAACAAAACAAGAAAATCGGCCGGTATAGTGGAAAAATTACCAGGCCAAGTGATTTTACATGTGCAGCTGTACCCGAGTACACTAGCAATTTTAAAGTTCTTTCCACCCCTGTTAGGATATCAAAATTTGGCTTTTGCCAATCTTTGCTTGGAGCCAGGGTATTGCATAACTGTCTTATGTCACTTTGCAAATACTGGTATGTTGTTGTTCAGTTAATGTATGTTCAGAGTACTGCCCTAATATGGGAGCTTTATTTCTGTCAAGTGTTGTTGTTGTCCAGTTGATGCTCATTGGCTAGTTGTAAATACATAGTAGGCAATCTTGACATGTTCAGTATGTATGAGAAGCTCTGAGTAATAAATTGTCACAATATGAAGTTATGTATATTTATGTACAAGTAAAACCTAAAAAATAGATGGTATTCAAATCACTGGCATTCTCCATATCAACACTTGTATGTTGGATCAGGATATGATAGCAAAATGGTTACGTAGAGGGTAATGTCCGAGTAAATCTCCATTCCTTAAAAATAATGGAGCCGAGGCGCCGGAGGGGCCGAGGCACATTATTTTTAAGGAATGGAGAGTTACGAGGATATTACCCTGCTTAAATTACATTCAAAGAACTGGGGAAATTTCTGTTATCAAAATTAAATGTCAAAATGACAAAATGAAGGCTTTAATTTGAAACTGGTACACATCGCTCCATTCCCGAAAAGTAATGGAGCGAGCAAACAATGGAATGACGTCACAAATGTAATTTAACAATACAGAAATTGTATGGACATTAAACATTGAGGTAATGTAAAAGGCATATTAACTTCAGGATATGTTAGTAGGCAAATGCTTTACAATGAATGTAGTGTTAACACTTTTTGAAAGGTTTACCAAGGCCTTGAATGTTGTAACCTTGATGAAACAACATCTGAGCAAGTCTTGTATGACACTATATTCTAGGTGAGAGACCATGCTCGATTATACCTTAAAAGTTGTGCAATGTAAACACCAAAGGCTGCAGTTGCTGAGATATTGCTCTACAAGGGAAATTTTCTTCATCCCTCAGGAGCTGTGGGGTAGCCTAATGGTTAAAGCGTTGGCACATCACGCCGAAGACCCGGGTTTGAATCTTGCATACAGTCAAACCAAACTCAGTCAGTCACTCAGTCTTGAGGAGATAAGTCATCAGGTGCCTTAGTGCATGAATATGAATATGAAAGAGTCCCACTGGTCTTGGGACAGATTCTTCAGCTTCCATCAAGTTTCACAATTTTGCTGTTAGTTTAAAGGAATATAGCAGTCAGTTAATGTATGTTGTGTCTTGGTTTCCGAGAACATCCCTAATTGTACTTAGGTCTGTCAGGTAGAATGTCACACTGCTAGTATTTGCATTTGTTATTATCATTGGTACATTGTACATACATACAAGTGAATCTCTCCTTGCTAATTAGCAAAAGAAGCTCAAATTGTATGATAAATTGTCAAAGTACATGCAAATGAATCTCTCCTCAGAGAAGGTCTCCACAGCAAAGCTCAGATTATGTGACAAATTGTTGCCAAACCTGTTGATTAAACCTGTGAAAGAGGCTAGGACATGGATGGTCATGCAACATAACTTGCATACAGTTAAAAGCTGTGTTAAACCCAACTCCTTCACTCATCTGGCTGGTAACTTAAAGGAAATATGCCGCTGTTCACCCAGCAGTTGATGGGTACCCAGTAGGATGGGGTGACTGTTCACCTTACAGGCAGCTGGGGTTGTATAATTCCCAATAAGACATCAAGTCCAAACTGATCCTATAATAATGCAGAGCTTTGAACATACATTGCAATTTATAAATATTGCATCACCTGAACTACTTAATGTTTATACCTTCCATAGAAAGAAAACGTGATTATTAATTATTCATTTCCAAAGTGGACACAATTTATGGATATTTATATCATCAGAACAACCCCCTGACTATGCGCATGCATGTCTGTTGCTTTATAAGTGAGGGGTGGTGGGGTAGTCCAGTGGTTCAAGCATTTGCTCGTCACACTGAAGATGCGGGTTTGATTTCCCACATGGGTACAATGTGTGAAGCCCATTTCTGTAATATTGCTAAAACTGGTGTAAAACTACCAGTAAATAAGTGAAGACATATTTGACCCCATTTCACCTCACCTTTGTCACTTGACCCTGAACGTTTCATTGAGCGAGTGAGTCATGATTTATTCAGCTTTGAACATAATTCAGTTATATCACCATGTCAGTAACATGGGAGAGGAAATCCAAAGTGATGCAGGTGGTCTACTTTGGTTTCACCAATGTATGGCACATGCAAACTAAAGATCAGAATCAGGGATTCGAATATAAAAAATTCAAACATATACTCATGGAAACAAATAAAGGAACACATGAAAGCATGCACAGAAACCTGGAAAAGAACATAGGAACACTTTTGCTTTCATATGTTCCCTTATTTGTTTCCATGAGTATATTTGGGATTCAAACCAATGACCACGAGATCCTTGTATGTCTCTTGGCAGCAACCACATACAACAAAGAAATGAGCACAAAGCCTATAAGGATCAAATCAATTTTATTGAAAAACATATTTTGCAATATTTTACATAATGATGAAGGTTATCAGAAGCAAATAAAACATATACACTTACAGTGTATCACAAGATAAGGCTTGTGTGTCTCCCAGAAACAGTAATCAAAATATCGTCTTTGTACTTAATAATTACACTTACATTCATATAATTCAGAGATAGCAATATGCTTTGAAACATAGAATATCTACATGAAATATTTACAAGCAAGTTCTATTACAATTACGGTAAGTGCAGTTTAAATAACAAAATCCAACCACCCATGAAACTCTTGACGCTTATTCCCCTGAAGACTACAGTGTCAAGAAAATTTATATTTCTGTTTTGTGTTAAAGATCTGAAGTTTTGTTTTACTGTACTGTGCAGTATGTGGCTTATACTTGGGAGATCTTCAAATTGTTTCATGGAGTGCTGTTTGATCCCTTAGAAAAGAAACTGATTTGAACGTAGGAAAGTACCTTGTTTTCTCACTGACAGGTATGCTACTCAAAAAGTTAAAGAACAGTTGAATTGTTCATATGAAAACAGCATATCCTGGCTGGTTTGTATTTCAACACACAGCCTTCCAGGTGTAGGCTCCTTCACTTGATTTGAGCAGTATAGACTAGAAAATTGTAAGATAATTAGTAAAATGAAATCATGCTAAAGTGAATTCATAGGTGCAATTGAAAATAATAAGTAAATATTGTCAATAACATTAACCTCATGACATTCAGAATGAGAATCATAAAACAGAAGTACAGGGAATTTTGGAAATCTTGTTGGATAACATGTCACATCAAGTGACCTAACAATATCTTATTATTCAGATACAAGAGAAAAGACAACTTTGTCAAGATAAATATGTTATTTGAAGGTAAAGCCAAAAATTCTATTTATAACCTATGCTTTGTATTTTCGTAAGCTGATATTCAGTGTGTCAACAACTGAAATATGATATTTCTTTCGTTACATGCTAAACATTTGGTGCCAGCAGAATAGCAGTATATTTTCAGATAAAGATTTATCAGGTTCTTGAGAGGCACTACTGAAAAGAAAACAAGCTGTCTACAGACAAGCAGAGTGATGTTAACCAAGAACAGATAATAAGTTATCCCTAAATACTGATCTCAAGTGACATCTGGTTTGAGCACAGCCATAAGCTCTGACACAAAGAAGATTCATTATTGGAGTCACAAGTTGTATAATTATATCCAAATGATGTAACCTAAACCCTATGCTTTAGGCAAGTTGCACTCACTGGGTACTTTGTCTGTGGATTCCTGCATCCTGACAGCTAACTAAAACGTGTCACTTTTGCCAACTGTTGACGGTATAAGCCAATATGCTACTTGTGTATTTGGCTCTGCTCTCAGGCAGTCCTTGTGACAGTAAAGTTGCAAGAGCTGTAATTTGACATTACAATACAGTTCTGTCCCATGTTCTGCATTACCAAAAGAGTTTCTGTTTACAAAGTTTCACACAGAAAGTCCAGCCATGACACAGCCAGAGGGTATAGTTAATTATGCGCTATCATTATATGCACGTACATACACAATTGTGTTAACTCAGTAATATACTCCAAATAAGTAATAGGTAAATTATATTTTAACGTTACAACATATAATAGCACTATCAACCTGG